GTTTTGGCTGGGGTCACCCAGTAGAGATGTCTGTGGCAGCTGGGTGAATCTATTTTGGCTGTAGTCATGGTTGACTAGGCTATGGGCATTTGCATGAACCAAGTCCAGGAGTAATGTCAGGGCTGTAGGGTTCTGGGTGACATCTTTGACCTTGGGATGCTTCTGCCAGTCTAGTGGAATTGGTGGAGACTCAGGGGTAGTGTCTTAGTATGTTAGCTAATCTCTGGAATTTTGGCAGTGCTATCACAGTCCTGGCAGGGACCCTAGAACTACAGGAGCAAAGCTTTGGGCTCAAGTGCAGTGAGAATTTTAGAGATGGTGATGGGGCTAAAAGGAGCAGAGCTGCACATGTGGAGGGCTGTTCTGTAAGTGTGGACGCTGTGCATTCCCAGTCATGGAGGCAGAGGTTTGTCTGAGTGACCTAGGGACTATATAGGTGGGCTGGAGCTTCTGATCAGCCAAGGTTCTGCCCCCAACACCTAGGACCTGCTGAGGCTGTTGCCCAAGGCTTCCAAGGAAATGGCTGTTATGTATCAGGCTCTTACTCTGCCCAGATCCCATGCAGGGAAGGAGGCATGCTCAGCTCGCAGTCATAGCACACATTACAGGGGAGCTTATGTTCTGTCGTTCCCTCTCAGCCTAGCAAGGTTGATGCAAAGGCTACTGCTAGAAGGTTGTATCCTGAGAAGAACTGGCTTCATGCACCAGAGCAATCCAGATGGCATCAGTTGCAGAAACCCATGCTTGACATCCACCAGATCTCTGCTGCACCTGCTCTCTGGTGCAATGTTTCTGTGTAGACTCTGAGCAGCTCCTCATTTAGCCAAGATGTCTACAGTGAAGGAGGGAAACCCCTGGCAGCTCATGCTGCCTGTAATTTTATTCCTTTCCTAAAAACCAATGTTCCCTCGAGTTGCTTCTATTCTTCTGTCTTACCGTCTTCCTCAGAATGTGAATTGTGTTGAGTAGGTGAGTGATACTTGTGAGTAAGAATCAGTGACACCCTGTTTAATTGAGTCAGTAGATACTGGGATGAACTATAGAGTTGTCCTCCCTGTCAGTGGGTGATGCTGTAATAGGCTTTAGCCAGGGCGTATCCAAACTTTTGGTTGCTCTGGGCCCCACTGGAAGAAGAGCTGTTTGGAGCCACACATTAAATACAGAAACACTAATAAAAGCTGATGATCGAAAAAAAATTTTTTTAAACCAAAAAGGTCCATGAATAATTTCCATATCTATGTAATAAAATGTCCTTGAGTTTTTTGATATTTTTATTATAAAAGTAAAAGAAAAATGGGCAACATAAAACTGGGGGACATTTGACATTTATTTGAGAAGCCAATGTATCAATATCTAGTTTTGTGGAAGTAGTTGGAATTCTCAGTAAATTCACAAGGTACTCATCAGATATTTTAGTTCTAATTTTATTCTTATCATGCTTCATGTTTGAAAATAGTTGCTTGCAAATGTAGGAGCTGCCAAAAAGTGATAACACAAATAAGGTGTGATTGTGAAGCAAGGGATATTTGTCTCTGGGAAGACAGGACCTATAAAAATCCAGTAAAAGGAGTTGGTTAAATTTTACTTTAAGTTCTATGTCAGACTGCAGCTCTATTCATTCCATTTGAAAATTAGCAGGTAACATTTATGTCAACTGAAAATGGAGTCACAAATGCACCAAAATGTTCTTTATTTTCCTAGAGATCTTGAAATCTATTTTCAAATTCTTGTATCAAATCAAAAAGCAAGACTGCATGTTTTTTGCTATTAACAGGACTGTGTTTAGCCAATGTGTCAAAATGCATGAAATGGTCTGCCTTAATTTGAGCTTGATATAATTTCGGTTTCATTCAGAACTTTCTTATGGTTTGAAACATTGTCTTGATATGTTCGTTTTCACCTCTAAGGTGCGTGTTTAACTCATATAGATGAGTGGCTAAGTGACTGGTTAAATCCACTAAAAATGTTACCCTGTAATCCAGTTTTCATTGTCAAGTTTTAGCACAAATTTGATTTTTGATACCATGAACAACTTGCTGATACGTTGCAAGTCATTAAATCTTTTTGACATTTGGCCTCAACTTAGACATCCTACTTCTGAAAAGTAAATGATGTCATCATAGTCAGCATCAGTATTTTTAAGGAATTCCTGGAATTGGCGATGATTTAATCCCTTTGGCCCTTATGAAGTTCATAGTCTTGACGGCAATTTGCATGACATCACCCTTTTTAAAATATTTGAGTATAAATATTTTTGATGTACTATGCAATGATACATAATCAAATGTCAGTCTGGAGCAGCAATTGCATTGTCTTCTGTTAATTTTACAAGTCTCTTTCTTTTATGTACCATCATTGCAGCACCATCAATTGCTATAAAGACATATTGATAATGGACAAAGAAAACCACTTTAACAAATGTTTTACTGCCTCATATAAGTCAGTTGATTTAGTTGTATCTTTTAATGCCACTAGAGAAGCCATTTCTTCGGTAACATTATATTCATCAATGTCTCTAATAAAAATGGCAAGTTGAGCCATATTTATGGTATCAGTGCTGTCATCCATCATCAAAGCATAAACTTTAAAAGTAGCGCTTTACTCTTCAAACTTCTTTCAATCGATTTTCCAGTTTCTTCAATTTGCCTGGCTATGTAATGTCTGGCAATTAAACCTGAGAACTCTTCCTAGAAAAAGTGCTACATACCTCACAGCTGAGTATCTATGGTCACCTTCAAAGTATTCTCCTTGGGAAGCTATGCACTGATGCCAGTGCCTAGTCCACCCTTCAGAGCAATTTTGAAATTCTTTTTCTGGAATAACCACCAGGGTTATTGTAAAATATGCTAAAACACACAAAAACAGTAATGAATGCCACTCAACCAGGCATTGCCATACATCAGCACAAACAGCTGTGAGACACAGATATACTAAAGTAATAAAACCCTACCAAGTTGTTTGTACAGTGCTGCCAAGGAAAGCACATGGTGGCAAGTCCACAAACTTAATTGTCCAACCTTTGTACAATGACAACTCTGTCCAGACCACAAAGGATCTGCAAATTGCTTTGTGTAGTACTGTCATTTTAACAATATTAATTCTTTCAATTCAAAATAGAATATCTCTTCACTTTTTCTCTCCTCTTGAATTTCTCTCATCAGTGTTTTATGGTTTTCTTTGTGTAGATCTTTTACTTCTTTTGTCAGATTGATTCCTAGGTATTTTATATTTTTGTAGCTATTGTGAATAGAATTGCTTCTTTGAATCCTTTTTCATTTTGTCTGCTATTTGTGTATGTAAATGCTACTGATTTTGTATATTAAAGTTGTGTCCTGCAACTTCACTAAATTTGTTTATCAGTTCTAACAGTTATTTTTGGTGGAGTCTTTAGATTTTTCTAGGTATAAGATCATGCTGCCAAAAAGGTTAATTTTACTTCTTTCTTTCCAATTTTGGTACCTTTTATATCTTTCTCTTGCTTAATTGCTCTGGTTTGATTTTTGTTTTAAGATTTTTTTTAAACTTTATTTTTTTATTGTTGCAGTTTGGCCAGGGCTGGGTTTGTACTCACCACCCTTGGTATACAGGACTGACACCCTACTCACTGAGCCACAGGCATCACCCTCTGACCTGATTTTTAAATTAGGTCTTCAAGGGTTTTATTGTTTTATTATTATTGTTGTTGTTGTTGTTTGAAACAGAGTCTTATGTTGAGGTCTCTACATGATGACACTTATTGGGTCCCATCTAGGATGCCACTTACTGGGTTCTGGGACTGGCCAAGTGTCCAGCCCCTGGCTTATTTTGGTTCTGGATGCAGACTGCTAGGCTACCTTGCTCAGGAACAATTGCTCTTAGGTGCCTGAGGGCTATTTGCTTTAGCAGAAGGGAGAGAGAAAGAAAGATAGTATTTGAGAAAGTAAAGCAGTCTTAGAAGACTACATCTTAGCAGTCTTTTATAGAGACCAATGCTGTGCAGGCATTCTGCAGGCAGGAGAAGTGACAGAGTCAGAGTGAGCAGGTCCATGATAGAATGTACGTATGCCCATCAATCCATGAATGGATTAATAAATTGTGATATATGTACACCATGGAATTTTTTTTTATTAAATAATATCTGTGTACATTAATGCTATCATGGGGTACAGAGTGCTGTTGCTATATACAATTTGAAATACTTTCATCCAACTGGTTAACATAGCCTTTATGTCATTTTCTTAGTTATTGTGTTAAGGGATTTATATTCTACATTTAGAGAGATTCACATGTACCTTTATAGGATAAACCATAGACGTTTATCCTATCCAATCACCAATCCCATCACCCTCCAATCACCCTCCCTCCACCCATCCTCCTCCCTCCCCTCCCTCTCCCCTTTCCCCATATTCTTGGGCTAAAATTGGGTCATAGTTTTCCTATGAAAGCTATGAATTAGTTTCATAGTAGGACTGAGTACACTGGATACTTTTTATTCCATTCTTGAGATACTTTGCTAAGAAGAATATTTTCTAGCTCCATCCATGTAAACATGAAGGAGATAAAGTCTCCATCTTTTTTATGGCTGCATAGTATTCCATTGTATATATATACCACAATTTATTGATCCATTCATGGGTTGATGGGCACTTGGGCTTCTTCCATGACCTAGCAATTATGAATTTGGCTGCAATGAACATTCTGATACAAATATCTTTATTGTAGTGTGATTTTTGGTCTTCTGGATATATATCTAGTAGAGAAATTATAGGACCAAATGGCAAGTCTATTTTTAGTTCTTTAAGTGTTTTCCAGATGTCTTTCCAAAAGGAACATATTAGTTTGCAATCTCACCAGCAGTGTAGTGGTGTTCCCTTTTCTCCATAACCATGCCAGCATCTGTGATTTTGGGATTTTGTGATATGGGCTAATCTTACTGGTGTTAGATGGTATCTCAAAGTAGTTTTGATTGCATTTCTCTGATGATTAAGGATGGTGAGCATTTTTTCATTTATCTGTAGGCCATGCGCCTGCCTTCCCAAGGACTGATCCAGGTGCACATTCTTGGCACACCAGGCCTGGTGCCTGAATACTACGAGAGGACAGTCAGTCAGTCAGTGGAGAGGGAACCACACTGGAGAGGCAGTACCCTGAGGCAAAGAGCAACAGCCACAAATTCAGTATAGGGCAGAATCAGCAGAAAAACTCTGGTAACCTGAATAACCAGAGTAGATCGACTCCCCCAAGGAAGGATGAAGCAGATGCAATTGAAGATCTCTTCCATAAACAGATGACTGAGATGTCAGAAATCAAGTTCAGAATCTGGATAGCAAATAAGATTAACAGAATGGAGGAAAGGAGAGAATTAGAATTTCAAATTATTCAAAAGCTGTCCCAAGAATTCAATGATTTCAAAGATAAAATGACCAAAGATTACGAGACACTGAGGCAAGAGGTTGTAGCCCTTAAAGATCTGAAAAATATGGTAGAATCCCTCAGTAATGGAATGGAACAGGCAGAAGAAAGGATCTCTGGCACTGAAGACAAAGCTTTTGAACGTGCCCAAGCACTCAAAGATGAAGAGAAATGGAGAGCAAAAATGGATCACTCTCTCAGAGAGCTCTGGGATAATTCGAAGAAAACTAATATTCAGCTTATACATCATGGAATATTATGCAACCTTAAAAAATATGGAGACTTTACCTCTTTTATGTTTACATGGATGGAGCTGTAACATATTCTTCTTAGCAAAGTATCTCAAGAATGGAAGAAAAAGTATCCAATGTACTCAGCCATACTATGAAACCCACACTTCCATATGAATGCTATAACCCAACTACAGCCCAAGATGAAAGACAAAGAGGAGGAGGAGGGGATGGGAGGGGGCAGGATGAGTGAAAGGAGGGTAATTGGTGGGACCACACCTATGGTGCATTTTACAAGGGTACATGTTAAATCTTCTAAGTGTAGAATATAAATGTCTTAACATAACAACTAAGGAAATGCGGTGAAGGTTTTGTTAACCAGTATTTTGAATTGTATATAAAACCAGCACATTGTACCCCATAATTGTATTAATGTACACAGCTATGATTTAATTTTTTAAAAAAAGAAAAAAATAAAAAAGAATGTACGTATGCTCCCAACTGCCTTCTCCTCCAGCCTCTTATAGACACACTCCTGTGGCTCTTAATACCACAGGTATAAAGATTTCTAAACACTGATGCTCTCGTCTCATGAGCTCTCATGTTTGTTGGGAGAGCCAAATCCCTTGCAGGATGCAAGAACAAACTGTGGCCCAGGGAAAATTGACATGGGATTTGAACTTGGAAAAACATTTTAGTAAGGTTATTGAACTTGAAAGAGAAAGGGAGCATGTTAGATCATGTAGGCTATAAAGCAAAACAGACATGCAAGTCACTTATAAAAGTGAAAAATCAAGATGGTGTCAGACCTGATCATTACAATGGTGGATATGAGAAGACAGTGGAGTGATATCTACAAAATCTTCAGGTGAGGAAAGTGGAACCCAAGTATTTCACTGCTAGACCAACCATTGTTTGTAGCAAAAGACAGGTGCTTTTAAGTTTTCAAGAACTCAGAGAAGAAAGGTCCTGCTAGTACATCTTAAAATATACCCTTGACAAAATTTAGCTAGTCAAGCAAGAAGTGAAGAATGGAGAAACCATGATATAGGGACTGGTATAAATTAGTTACTCAGACCTAGAATTAAACAACTAGACAATTGAAACCAGAGCATAGACATCAAATGGCTTAAATTTTGAAACTGTAAAAATAAGATAATTAGCAAAAATCTTGGGTGAATTAGTATTTGCACATGTCATAGTAGAAAATCATTAGATACTGTGTAACATTAAATAATAGTTTTGATACAATACTCCAACTTAATAATGCTTCTCTGAGTAGTATGACTCAAGTTTAGAGATCTGTTGAAACACTAATAAAATAACTTGTTGGAGAAAACAATCATGTAAAATTAATCATTATTTCAGTTTTACCTTGATTTATTTATATTCTGTTCTATTCATATAAAAATAAATTTAATACCATAGTCTATATAGTAGACAGTATAAAAAACTAATAATTGTTCATTTGTGAGCCCTACAGCCTGGTTGGTTGGGTGCAGTGAACTCTCCAGGCAGAGTGGGCTATTAACCCATTATTCCCACACACTGTCATTCTTATAAGGATTCTACTGCTTTGGTGCCTTTTACTGAAGTTCTGCAACTGTGGTCAAGAGGGCTTTGGGGAGGATTTGCTGCTCATTATAGAGTTTATGGTTTGCTTTGAACCACTTGTTCTGGTTATTTTTGGAAATTTTTCAGCAGTCATTGGAGGGAAAGGAAAGAAGTTAACTAGCCATTCATAAAGAAGACAGCCCAAGTTTTGATTTTTGATCTTGTGTTTATTTTCCATTTTTCCAAGAACTCGTGGCAGCAAATGTGGACATTCTTTTATGGAGAATAAGAATTTGAAATATTAATAACAGGAGAAGGAAATCATAAAAAAAGCTGCCATGAATATTAGGCCTTGCAAAGGCCCCCAGAAAGAAGAGGGTCATCAGCACAGTCAAAAGCTTCAAAGAGGACATAAGAAATTGGCAAGGAGAAAAGGTCACCCAGCTAGCTGCTACTGTCTACTATGTGTCCTCGTGTCCACAGGCATGTGTTCTGTGTTTGGGCACAGCTTTCTAAGCACTCCTCAGTGACCTCTGCTTGCCCTTGTTCAAATTATGCTTCCTACTGACTTCAGCTCAGTCAGGAGCACTGTGGATGTATTGTTTGGGGGAATACTTTACATTACTCAGTATACATTACTGAGGAAAATCATTCTGAAGCAGGGAATAATTTAGATTAATACACAAATGTGTGTGTGTATAAATCCTTCTGCATATATCCACACATACCACATATCTCTTTAACTTTACCTACATTTGGGGTCCCCATCTGTAAACTCTGAGATGATAATAGAGAAGGGCAAATGTTAAGCATCAATTTGGGGACGAAATAATATCCAGAGAAAAATATAACAAATAAACAAGTAAATAAAGTATGATATTAATTGTAAGCCATCAGCCACATGTCTCTAGATTTGCCCTGTTCTGCTGTGCAGAACCATGGAAGTGTATCACATACCTTCTAAAGAAGCAATCAATCAAGTCAACTGAGGGGTGGAGGTCAACCCAAAATGATATATAAATAGCAATCAATAAACCTAACTGTGCAACAAATGAGTAACCAGACACCATTGAAAGGGTTGGAGAAGAAAACAACAAGCCTAAGGAAGTCTGGAAAACAGGATTTAAATATGCACTGTAAGGCTGAATACAAATGGAATGCGGCACACATGTTTTACTCTAGTTAATAAACTTGTTTTGCACAGGAGTTTGTGTTAGCAGTTCTGAAACTACTTTATGTGTGTTTTGGAGACTGAAACAATAGGAAAATATGTTGTGGACAATGATAGCTAGATTTCTCTCTGTTAAAGAGTTACAAAGAAGGAAAAAGGAAGTCTAGGTGTTTTTAACAATTCTGTGGTGTTGGATTAAAATTAAAGGTATCAGTAGGAACCCATGGTCTTTACCTGGTGATAGATGATAGGTAGATTACATTAGATTAAATCAGATAGATATACAGATATGTTTATGCATATACATATACATGCATGTTCTTACATTTACTAGCTTTCTCTCCTGAGAAGGCTGAGACTGGAAGCAGTGACACTCAGGAGAGTGAACAGAACAGGCACCAAGATCTTGGTTTTCAAGTAACACTGTCCAGTGAAAGCAACCAGAGCTCCTCAGAGAAGTGGATGATTCCAGGCTGGGGAAGGGAAAGAACTGGACATATTCTGTGGTGCCAGGAAAGAAGGAAGTCTCAGAAAATGATGATGTTATGTTGGAAAAATATAGGAGCCAATTCAAAGGAACCCTCAATGGCTAAATTGGGACAATTTAAACAGAAAGAGACGAAACCAGGAGAGACAGAGAGGATATGAAGAAAAGAGAAAGAAAGGAGAAAGGGAGGGAGGAAAAGGGGAAAGGGAGGGAAAGATGAAAATGGGACTGAGGAGAAGAGAAAAGGAAAGGAAGGAAGGTGGCAGAGAAAGAAAGGAGAGAAGAGAAGAGAGGAAAAGAGAGAGAAGGAGAGGGGATGGGAGGGGTGATGGGAGGGATGGAAGAAAGGTAGAAAGAATCAAGGCTATAGAAAATAAACATTTCTCAAACACCATAGTATTATTAGAATTGTTGCAGGTAAGAATCATCATGGATATTAAAATTAATAGACAAAAGCATGACAGAAATGGAATATTTTCATTTTCTCAAAGTATCTCCCCCCCCCAAAGTATTAAGTCTGACTAGATGTCCCTGGTTCCCATGGACAGGAATGAGTACTGGTACGGAGTCGAGCTGATGATAGAGTGGTCACAGATACAAAGCAATCATGCACACATTTATCATGAAGTGCAAGTACGTCTCAGAGGGACAGACGGGGCATTCTCTGTGAGTGGAGAAAGACCCCAAAGTTTGAGCACACCCTGTCTTTTATATGCTCACTAGTTTGTCCTGCCTTTCTCTTCATAGAACTTGTTGCCATTTCCTGGCTATGGGGTGATTGACAAGTGTGGGCTTATAGAACAGGTGGTATAACAGGTTAGGTTATATACAGTTTCCTTACTATGTGTCCTCCTAGAATCCTTCATGAAATCTTCACCCATACTAGGCGAATCAGATGGTAATTAACCATGGTAATGGGCCATCTGCAAAGATGAAAATGAATTACCTACACTTGAAGCAAAGGGTTTGTGCATTGTGAAATAAATCTCTTATCTTCTTTATAATTGTTAAAAAATTCTGGGCTCACCCCAAATGTTGAATTATGGCTTGTGTTAGGCATTTGGAGGTGCCCACCTGGCTACATTTGTCATTTTGATGTTCTGTTGAAGGGCTGTGAGGACTTGGAATGGTCATCTGTATAGCAGTGGTTTTCTACATTGTTTATCTCACAATACACTTAAACCTACAGTTAAACTTCTGTGGCACACTTAAATTATGTTGATTAAAAAAAGAGTAAGATGTCTATAA